GGATCTCTCAGGTTATACGGTGTGTGTGTGTGTAAAAACTTGACATCTCTACTTTGTACAAGGAAGACTGGTTAGAGCTGCACACATTCAAGGGCCTCTGTTGAATAGAACTGGCCAAATCAGATTAAAAACCCAATATCTATGATGAAGGCTGAAAGCTGCCTGCTTGGAGAGGTTTCATTGATGTGAACCAGAAGTTCCTTGCATGTGGTCAGGCCCTAAATTTGATACTGGAATTTAAAAACAAATTAAGATTCCCATGTAATATTGACTTTTTTTTTTTTTTTTTTTTTTCCAGAGTAAAAAAGATTTTACAGCATGGAATGCTATATGCAGTGGTTACATGAGTCCAAGTAATTGTACCAATTATATAATTTGATATAATTGCACTAATTACATAAACACATAATAATGAAATATAAGTTATTCCAAGAGCTAAACTGGAAGAACATTAAAGAACCTAAATCTGCTCCCACTTATTCTAGTACAAATCAGAAACAATTCCCCTGAAATCAGTGAAGTTACCCAAATAAAATTGGCCCCTACCATTACAAACATTCAGGTAAATCCAGCTTTTGGATCGAGGGTACTGACTGGCAAGTGAATGAAAGCTATTGGAGTATTTTGTACTGGCAGAGAGTGCTAATTCCTGGCCAAATTCCAGCATACACAAGGAGATTCTGTGTTCATGACCAGGTTAGGTATCTTCTCTTGTTCTGATCTGTCATGCAGCAGCTGTGGGGTTTGCTAAATGTTTTAGCTGCTGATCCCAAAGGAAAAAAACAAAACAAAACAAAAAACAAACCCAAAACAAAACCTGAGTATGAGCTGGACCCAGATTCAGGTGTGTCTTTAGTTATATTGGTGCTAGCTGCTATTACATCTGCAGACTTTAGGGGGGCTACTGCAGGGTGACACCAGTATTAACAGAAATAGACTCACCTCTTAGACAAAATTTGCATTTCTGATCCATTTTTCAAAATGTTCTTCAACCCCTCACTGTAGAAACCACTCCAAACAAAAATTATACTTAAGAGGGATTCATTCAGTGAGGGGTTTCCCTCTTTTCTCTCATGGCAGGGGGAGTGTAGCAATTAATTTCAGCTGCTGACTTCATCTCTCACAAGTAACACAGCAGAGAAGGTGAGAGCTGGCAATTTTGGAATAGGTGTCTATTATGTGTGGAAATACGTGATGTATGCAGAGTTAATCCACCGAGTGCTCTGTTGCACCACATCGTGACAGTCACCCTGTTCACACTGCCCTCATTAGTGCCAGTGGGAGGTCCCAGGACAGGGAGGGGGGTTTTGCCTGTGTGACAAAGATTTTCCAGCTGCAGAGATTGATTCTACCACATGATGGAATACAATGATTTAGCATTTACAGGACCAAATTCAAAGCCTGTTCAAAGAGACAAGAGAGAGGCCTAGTCCCTTTCAGGGAGGTATGGGCCTGACACAGACTTGTAGATACAGAACCTAACTTAGGTAATGAAACTGGATACTGAATTTTATAAGGATGGGAATGACAGAGGGGAAAAAAACCCAAAACAAACACACCCAAATTTTCAGCCATGAAGTCTGAGCATCTCACTTTTTACTTTGTCTGGTTTCAAAAACGCAGGAGGTGGAAGCTGCAAAAGGCGGCTTTCCCGCGGCCTTCCTGCAGCACCCCTGCAGAAAGCTGCCACAAGCAGTAACCTTGTCACATCTCTGAAAAAATCAAGCCCAAACTGTCTCAGATCTATCTCTCAACATTAAAGACCTCATAAATTTTATTTCCTTTTAGCCTCAGACCTCTGTGTGACAGGCTCCTGCCAGAAGCAGGACCCAGGCTTACCTCGCTTTCTGTAGCACGCACGGAGCGGGGAGTCCCTCCGTGCTGCAGAAAACTCCAAGCATGTTCCGTTCAGGTTGATTTCCAGAGTGTGTTTCACACAAAGTAAAAGGACTTGGGAACCTGAACTACAATCCAGCTCTTCCCCCTCCCAGATGATGCTCTTTACACCACAGGGATTTGTGCTCCTCCTTGTGTTTCTGCCCCACGACTGCCAGGGCCACAGTTGCAGATGGGGGAGCAGGGCAGGCAGGGGAAGAAAGCTGTGAATTTTTCTACCAAGAAAAGAGGTGTTCTTTGCCAGCTCCTGTGACAAGAGTTCAGGATCCCAGGCTTGCCTGTGGTTTTGCAGTGAGATGGAAAGCTCTGCCCACTCCTGCTCCTCAGTCCCAGCCAGCCCGAGCTCATGCCATCCTGGCTGCTGGCAGCTCCTTGCTCCCTGGAGCTGTGGGTCCAAATCCCACACCAAGACTCCCTGCCCTCCTCCTGGGTGAGCACAGGAGTCCCAGTGTCCCATGCAGGGCTTGGCTTCAACCCCAGAAGTCAACCACTTTCAATTAAGAATGAAACCCGACCAGACCCAGCCTCCAGGGCCTTGCATTTCAATGGACAAGATTTCCTCATATATCCCATTTTTAAAAGTACACCCCAGTCTTATTAATGAAGACTGTGTCATGTTAAGTCAAATGTGCCTTCAGACTGAAGGGACATGTATTTATCATTTCAAGGGGAAAGAAGGCTGCTAAGAGGTGAAGGAGGAGCAGCAAGCTGTGGCTTTGACAATAAATGTGCAATTTGAGGTGGTAAGAAAGCTAGAAAATATGAAAATAATTTGGTCTGGTGGACGAAGTCCTGCACAGCAGGTTGTTAACACAGCCACAGTAAATTGCTCCTAGAGGTCTCCCAAAACAAAGCTGCTTAACCCCAACACCTGGCTTTGGGGAGGGGTGGGCAAAGCTAAGCTTAAATGGGACTTGTAACTAGAACCCACCATTATTTGCATGAACTTGCTTCTTCAACACTTCCAAGGTCTCAGGGTCAGCTCTAATGTTTGCTAAGTCAACAGAGGTCCTTCTGGCAGCTTCAGCTGGCATTTGCTTAGGTCTCCAGGAGGAAGACTTTATCTGTGACGATCAATTAAATCAGTATCTGGATATACGAGCAGCTGACAAGAATTTTTGTGAATGTTTGTTAAAATTCAGGGGGTTTTATCAGTAAAAACCCAAACTCAAAACTACTCCCCTTGTTGCCAGCTAATTTAACAACAACAAAAAAAAGGAACAGAACAAAACAAAACAAAACAAGTTAATCAAACTTAGCATTGACCTTTTTTCCTGGAAGTGCTTTCCACTTTTTTTTTTTTTTTGACTTCTTGTGACCGATCAGGGAGTGACCTAGATGAGAAGTTACATTCTTACACAGCAGGTGAACCAGGAACTTGCTGTAAATGACCTGCAGGTATGCGGAACAGCTCCGTTCCTGCGCCCAGATACCCCTCACTGATGCAGAGAGAAAGCAGCAGATGCTTACACGTATAGACAGCAAGAAAACTAGAGTGTCACATTTTTAGGATCACAGCTGAGCTCTCAGACAAGGCTTTCTGCAATGACTAATACGACCACGGTCTAATGCGACAGTTTGCTGTCTGCAGCCGCATTCAGTCCCGAAAGTCAGCAACTTTCTCCAGATGTTACACACTGAAAAAAAAAAAAAAAAAGCAAAAGAAGAAGAAGAAAAAAAAAAGCAGCACATCCAGTTTTCAATCTTTTTTTATTTATTTAAACTGTACACAAATGTAAAATACTTCAACAGCAAATCTAAGTGAAAACTGTTTGGTTTAAATTATTATGGAACAGGACCTAAAAGGAACTTTATTAAATAAACATAAAAATTGGATTTAAAGGATGCACATATTGTAATGTAATCTACAATAGTAATTTTTTTTCACTCTATGTTCCATGTGCGTATGGTATAGAAAAGACACTGAATAGAACAAACAGAATCCATTTTGTACCCTGAAACAATTGGTAGGCCTCGTGAGGGATTGCTCAGCATGACTACATGATATATGATGGCTTTGCCATCTCATAAAAATTATAACTAATATGTTGGCCTCTTTGGTTCCAAAATTTATGTATAATACATTTAACTGTATTCATTTTTTGCTGCTATAAAAATAACATTTTTTTCAAATGGCAGTTTTTGACTAATCATGCAACTAAATCAGTGCAAACATTAAAAGCAATCATTCGCTTTAAAAAAGAAGCAAAAGATTTAATTTCAAGTATAAAAAAATATAAAAAAGTCATATCATAAGTCCAGTTTTGTCTAGTATGGGTCAACACTTTAAATTGCATAGCTCATGCGGCACCTGTTTACCTAGATAGTGAGCAAAGATAAGTGCACTATCAAGTACCACTTTTCAAGGCATTGAAATTTGCAAGTGCTATTATACGTGCATTAAAGCAGTTTGCAAGTGCTATGCTGTATCATTATTTTCTGATCTTCATGGCCATCCTCGACACCTCCTGGTAAGGAAATTGAAAGCACTCTCATCTCTCCTCCTTTCCAAGACTTGTTAAAATGTTCCTCTCCTGTTATTAAACGCACTGCACTTTTCAGAACATCTCCACTATGTTACTGTCCCTCCTCTTTAGGGTTCATTGGTTTAGTCGTGGTGGCAGTCGCTTGTTTGCCCGTCCCCCACATGACATGTCCTTGCCGAGTCCCCCATTGAAGAACACAGATTGCAATTTTGACTTTTCGTTCTCCAAACAGTGAGAGATGCCAACAGTCAACTCAGTCCAGTTACGGTATCGGATCCCCTTTTCCAAGACACGGCAGGTAGAGCCATCCATGTGTTGCTGATGGGCAGTTATAGCATCCGATCACACCAGCCCAGCTTGTGACTTTGCAACAGTCAGATGTTAGAAATACAGAAGTTGCTCACGTGTCTGTCCCCTTTTCTCTCTCTCTGATGGTACTACACTGTTCCTTACTGGAAGTGCTGTAGGAAGATGTGGGTATCCATGATGTTTACATTTAGATAAATTTAAATTAAGAGGAAATTTTTACCTCCCAAGGCAGGTGTCCTGCAGCTTCCCTTTAGACCTAAGAGGTGATGGTCGGCTCTTTTTTGCGTTTTTGTTTTTTTTTTTTAATTTTCTATGTTTGGTGATTTTGACACCTGTGTGCAAGAATACGTCGTGTTCTCGCAGTCTGTGCTTTTGCCTGAGCAAAGGGAGCTCATTTCAGTGTGACTTCACCGGCAGGTGGGGAAACAGCTGCTCAGCCGTTCACTCGTACTGGCAGGCATTTAGGTCTGCTGTCACTGGTCACTGACTTTCTGTGCTCACGTCCCTTTTCCGAGCTGCCTCTTGTGTGTGTGTGTCTGTGTGTCTGTGTCTCTGTGTGCACGTGTGTGTGTATGAGCGCGTGTTTGTGTGCATGCCCACATTTCGTGTGTGTGTGTGTCTTTAAGATATTTCATAGCATTAACTTATAAGTGGTAGAATATATAAGTGTCCAAGATCCACAAACTTCCACTGTCCTGACACAAAAGTGAAATTATTTCTTTTTTCTTTTTCTTTTTCTTTTTTTTTTTTTGTCAAACTTTTCCACAGTGACTTTCCAACACTGATGCCTGGATACACAGTGAAACTTCCTCCAACACCATCTCGTACGGGAATGTTTCTCTCTCTCTCTTGCCCTCTCGCTCTCCCCCCCCAAAAAACACACCTTAAATCAAGCACAACCACATTCTTCCACAATCATATTAGGAACGTCCCTTTTCACAATGTTGTATTCATCATCAAAGTACAGCATTGACATTGTGCTAAGTTTGGTTGGAATGCAACAGGAGTTCACGGTGCCCGGGTTCAGCCCCCGCATTCGGTACTGATTCACGACAGCGGTGTGAAAGGAAGAAGCCGACCCCGGGACGCCAGCCAAGTAGGCCGGGCAGCTCCCTTCACAGTAATTCCCATAGTAACCTGATGGTGCTATGATCCAGTCATTCCACCCAATGAGTCTGAAGTCAATGTAAAACTGTTGCCTGCAACATAGATTGGTCCTGCCATCGCACTCCAGGCCTCTTTTCCGGATCCTGTGTTTGTTATCGGCGAGGCGGGCTTGCACCACTAAAAAAGGCCGGTGGGATTCCTCCCCGGGGTCCACATAAATTGGCAGCACTGAATACTCTTCACAGCCCTCACATTGAACATCCAAGTTCAGTCTCCTTTCTCCTCTCTCAAACAGAGCCTGGATGGCCTCTGTCATGGGAAAAGTGTGCCAACCACTTCTTTTGAGATCAACTTTCTTTTCAACCACATTCCACTTGTTGCTAGTGTCCGGGTCTTGGAAATAGACTTTGACTCTTACTTTTCGCCTGCTGCCTTTCTCTAAGACATATGGAAGCAGCTTCAAGTAAAGCCACAGGCTGGCTTGAACGACAAACAAGTTCTGGTTCCCTTCATTCGAGATGAAGAAATAGAGGCGGACTCTAGATGAGGCCAGATCGTCTGCAAGATAAGGAGAGATCAGCAAGATTAAGTCAAAAAGGAAACGTTAGCTTGTGTGCCAGTCTGGATTGAGGGACAATGTTAGAGCACAGTGGACCGAGAGAGCAGTGACGGGGTGTGCCGGCCAGAAGCAGGCAGTGAATCAGATATCCCCAATTTGCAATCAAAACACATTGAAAAGGGACTTCCCACAGCAACGTTCATCAGTGGGCTGCAGTCGGATGTGTCAGATCCACAGACACCCTGAAGAGCTCTCCAGAATATGGATTTTTTCCAGCCAGCAGCTTTAAAGACACTACAACAGCACCTTGAAAAGACCAGTACTCGGACTCTGCCATCTCATCGGTTTAAGAACAGTTTTAACTTTCAGCTACCTGCCAGTTCTCACAGGGAGAGCCCTTTCAGTAACTACTGAAATGTCAATGCCAAACCAGGGATTTTGTTTCGATTTCCACATATTCTCATCGTGGTTTAACAAGAGAGGATTCATGAGATGGAGAGGAAAATTTTCAGTAACCTGCCTGCTTGTCCAACAGATCAAGCTAACTCCCAATTACTCTGGTAGATCTGCTGTTATTAATCATTTCAATCTTTGCTTTTTTTCCCCAAAAACTCTGAACTCCCAGGCAAGGCGAGGCAATGAAGCGGTTGCTCTCGCTGCAACGCCATTACTGACTGTTCTCAAGAAGCTTTTCAATGACACCAGATTTAAATGAGTGAAATTGTCACTGGCAAGGAAATGTCACCAAATGTCTGACATAACCCCTTATTTGTAAATACAAGAGCCTGCTGCATTAAATGTTTCAGAAATACTAATGGTCCTTCTGCAATTTTGTACCCTAAGTCCTACCTACATTTGGTGTAGGTGATAAGTGTGCAAGCTGGACTTTACAGCACAGGCTGTAATTCTGGTCCTTGAATCAAAGCCTCACAATCACTATTTTAAATTATTGCTGGAAAAATATTTTCTCATCTCTTCTTATCTGACTTGCTTCTCTCTGTACAGAGCCAAAAGCTCCTTTTTTTTTTTTTTTTTCCCTAAGAATCTTTATTATTTTTGTCAATCTCTGAATGGGATTTTTTGTGAAGTCGGTGTCTTCATTTGTTATCCTAGATGCCTTTCAAATGTGCCTCCAGGGGCAATTTGGAACCTTGTAATATTTCAGGAACAGGAATTTTTCACTGTTTGTGTCTACGTTTTACATCAAGTCAATTTTGGAAGTGTTACAAAAGCCAGCAATTAATTGAATACCAAATGGAAGCATGAGCCCACCCCAGACCTCCCAACAACAGCCTACTAAAACATAATAAACCCAAAACAGTACCTAAGAAAGCCTTTTGCATGTTAGTAAATAAGAAACTTCTTTATAAACTGTGGTGACAGTGACAGCAAAAGAACAGTATGGTGTTGCTGCACCGATCCACATCGCTTGTGTTGTGTGAGATTGTGTGTGCCCATAAATTTTGTATGTGAATATAACAAGCATATGTATAATGCAACAGATCCCATAGATACTGTAAATGTATATGCCTTTGGTAAGTGGGAGGGTAGATAAAGAAGATGAGTGGGCAGCATACAGGATAGAAAGAGATTTATTTTGTGGACAACTGATATATAGATGCCACAGGAAGATAGAGAGAGAAAAAAATTAACTAAGCAATAGAGCAATGAAGGAAAGGAGAGACGGACAGATTCACAGAAGGGAGCTAATTTGCAGAGTGATGGTGTGATGGCCAGATGTGCAAAGTTCATGAGCACAGCGGTTGCATGGATAAACTGCTGGAAAGCTACACCGACGGGATTCAGTGACACAACTGCAATGGCTGGACAGGGCTGAGATGGCTGGTACCGTGGGGATGGATGGCACAGTTAGTAAATGGACAGACAGACAGGAAGGAGACAGACACACTTGGTAGGAGGCTGCACACAGTGGACAAAAAGACAAGGCCAACACTATGAATGAAAGCTAAATAAATGGGAAACGAACAGAAAGGGAGGACAGGCGAAGGCAAGCCTCAACAGACAGATGCATGCAGTGAGCCAGATGAACGTGCAGGGCAGGGAGACAGAGCGAGGGATGCAAAAGATGGAGTGGGACAGGCAGAGGATGGACAGTGGGATGCATGGGGACAGAGGCAAGCCATGGTGCAGGTGGAAGGGCAGCCGGAGGGAAGCCTGAAGGCTGCAGAGGGATGGAGGGACACAGCCAGGGGATTTGCAAGACACAACCCGAGGAGAAGCCCGAGCACAGGGACACACGCAGAAGAGGACGAGAAGGAGCAAGCAGGGCCAGCGTTTGAGGTCGTGGGGCAAAGGAGAAAGCGGCAGAGGTGGAGGGCAGGCGGGTGAGCCGGGCAGCCAGGTGTCCGTAGCAAGCAGGGACAAAAAACAGGGTGCAGAGAGGGCCAGACAGCGGGGCCAGACAAGGGCGGTCAGGGAAAGTGCCCGGGGTCAGGCAGGGGGTCAGACAGGGCAGGCAGGAGGGCAGGCAGGCCGAGCGGGACTTCTGAGGGAGGAGGTCCAGCAGGGGGATGGCAGGGGCAAGGCAGGACAGGCAGTGCAGGGCAAGGACAGAGGACGGCCGGGCAGGGGAGAGCGGGCGGCGGGGGCGCGGGGCT